TTTTTGTCCTGATAAGCGTCTGTGCTTTTTAGCGGGAAAATCCCATCCTACGTTGCTGTGAGGTTGACTGCGAGATACTGGGTACCCTATTTGTTACGATTTGCCACTATTGGCCACCATTTGCCACTATTCGTTACTATTCGAGACTGTTCGTCACTATTCGCACTATTCGTGCTATTCGCTATTCGGGACTACTCGCTGTTCGCTATTCGCGACTATTCGCTATTCGCTATTCGGGTTTTCCAGACACCCAAACTAGAGAAGAAACTAGGGAAACCACTGTCTACCTCATAGTCTTCAAAACTGTTGAATAATAATTGAATAATTAATAACTATCGAATAAGTATATAATAATTAATACAATCGAAACCATCCATACCGACAGCTCTATATTGTGACAGACAGATAAGAGAAACTAAAATTTATCTCTGCCTTCATAATAATACGAAAGGCCTATACGATACGGCCACGCAGACCAGCTCTGCTCCTTTTGGAGACCGTCGTTTGAACATAGGTTTAAGAATTTAACATCCGATCAGCCCTGAAGCAACATAAAGGAGTTCTGTTTTACGTCTTAGTACTTCATATATAACTTCTGATTCATCTCCCTTACAGGAGATTTTCCCTTACATGATATATGGTGCCTTACGGTAGAAGGCCCTTTGAGGAGTGCTAGTAGAGGGTGCTTCAAGGGAGGTGTCACCCATTACAGAATTCACTTTGAGTAGTTTGGCTGCTTGAGAGAAATTTGTGGTAATTCAGTCGTATTTCCTTGTGGCCGATGTATTGGCTCAACGGGCCATAACCTTGATTTTTAAATGCCACCTATAAAGTTACTATATATGTGAACCACTATTTTTAATCATTCATACCGCGACAGTCATATTTCAGTCGAGTTTCTAATGGTTGCTTCATTGGTTTGGCCATAAAAACTGTTCTTTCTGCAATACTGTCTGCAATAGCGCTTGGTCTAAAAAAAAAAAAACACAGGAGTCCTGGTGGATAATCCTAACTTGTTCTCATTCAAACTGCAGCCGTCGCAGCTCGTGAGGATCGTAGTTCTGCAAATTGGTTTGGTTAGACCACGCACCATGCTTTGCCCCGTCCATTTCTGTGGCAACCTGAAAAGAAATTAGAAGGAAACATAAACACACTTGGACAATAAAAGGAAAACTACTTTGTTTACATCCAAGGTTGAGCTCAAATGATCAGCTTCATCAAACCTAGCATGTTTCAATGAGAGTGAGTACTTCTCAACTTGGGATTGACGTAAAAGTTTTTCCTGATTTTTAGCAGCGCCTTTTACTTCCCATGAACATTTTACTCCCAAACAGCTCAAGACTGGTGAAGAATTATTTCCGGTGTTCGGCTAATGTAAGACACAACTCAGTGTACCTCATCTCCCTCCTTTATTTTAACTTTCAATTCTCCGAGACTGCCCTTCAATCTTTGTAACGGAAAAGTTCCATTTTCTGCTTAAAGCATTGATGAATTTATGGTTACGAGCACTTAGCTAAAAGCATACCACAGCGAGTCGGCACCAAACAAGTTATTGTAGTTATTGTCTGGTTAGTATACCTGATTTCCTTCAGCCAATCGGTGATCCACCCCACCAATTGTCGCGCCGCAGTCTGGGCACGATCTTTGTTGATTTGCTCCACCACATTCGCCTATGGCGTAGATATGTCCGTTTGGACACTTGTACCAGTGACCTTTAGCGAATTTCATAGCCTTGACAATCATAACACGCTCTTCGGGAGTCAAACTTTCCAATCCACACTTTCTTCGGATTTCGTTGATGGTGGCCTCTATGTCATCAGCATCTTGCTTGGTGAGTTTTTTGCCTGCGTCCAGCTGCTTCCGCTGTCTTCCTAACCATTCTTCGTCATCGAATCGGACATCAATGGAGCGCTTCTTGATCTGACACTGAACAACGCGAATCTTCAGAAATAGACCCACACAGACGACTTCATCCCTAATGTCAGTCAGACTCTGGGAAGAGATTTGAAACTTCATCAGGCTTTCTTCTAGATGATTAAGCTTTTCGTCAACTTCTGTTGCTGCTTGAAGGAACATCTGATCAAGGGCAGTTTGATTTTCACTGGGTGGTATAAGTACTCCATAGCAAGTATTTCTTAGCAGGTCTTTCTTGATTTTTTCTCTTATCTTGTATATTTGCGTCAGTAACTTAATCTGGTTTTTTATCGTGTTGAGCTCGGCCATGGTTTTCCTCTGCTGCAACCAGCTCCATAAGATATCGTAGCTCGAAGTGCCTAGTGCCGTGTGTGTTAGCTCTTCGCCTTCTTCTTCCTCGGCGTCACTTTCGGAAAAGGTCTCAGGCGACGCCTTCCTTGACTGAACATCAGGATACTCTCGCAGAAGAGAGCGAGTTTTCTTTTTCAATTTTGCTGTCAATTCTTGATATTGTTCTTCCTCTTCGTTCAGTCTTTCTTTGACCATTTCGACATCTGCCAACTTTTCTTTGACAATGTCAGCATATCGGTAGCTGATCCGAATGGGGGTCTTGCACTTCGGACATTCCTTCAACTTGATATCATCAGTTTCGCCGTCTTTGTCCATCCAGTAATCCAACGCTGTAACCTCAAACACGTGTCCACAGTCCAACAGTTCGATAAACCTCGCGTCTTCGTCCTCTTCCGTTCCAAAGAAAACCTCGGTAACCTGGTCTTTATGGCAAATTCCGCACAACCTGGGGCATGGTTCCCCGCAAAGACCGATACATGGGTGGTTGAAATTACACAGGCTCGAGCCTCTTAACAGTCTCTTCTTGCACGGCTCGTTACATCGAGGACGGTTGCACTTCTCACCACAAAGCTTCGTGCACTTGAAGTGTGGGCAAATCCACGAACACCTCTCCTACAAAAAAAGAGATCAACTAAAAATCAGCTTTAACGTTGAAGAGGCATTACTATTCTATTTCGGCATAGACTTTATCCATACTAGAATAGGGGCACATCCATGCTTATGACAGGTTTGAGCAAATATGTTCGTTTTAAAACTCTTGAATGATAGAAGTTAAATTTCAAGGATCTGCCTAAGAAGCAGAACATCGTAGGTCACCGACTTTGCGAAAAGCGACACTGCGAAAAGCGGAAATCAAGCGGAAACAGCGAACGCCTTAGGAGGCGATTTTTGCAGGATATCGAGCAAATATTGGTGTAGCGCCGAAAATTAGTCTTACTTTTCATTTTCCGATTTTGTGCGCACATATCTTTATACTAACCCTGCAAGGCGTACAAGGTTCCATACACTGTTTGGGACATTTGCTGTGAATGCATCGGTTCTCACATTTCTCCGGACAAGGTGGACAGTTTTTCGTGCAAGGCTCTTCACAAAGGTGTAGGCAAACTCGTATTCTTTCGCAGTCGGCTTCGCAAGGAACGTGCATTCTTCCCTGCCTGCATTTACCGCAGTTTCCAACGCACTGGTGTTGACATTCCAAAATTGCACGACAAGGCTCTTCACAGTGATAACTTTCTGACAGCTCCCAGCAAGGCTTTTCAATTTGATGACCACAATCAAATTCCCTCTTGATATTTCTCGGACATTGGAAAGAAGTGCATTCTTCCCAGCACTTTCCGGGACAGAGGTGACCACATGGCAGGAATTCCAGACACTTCTTCTGGCACTTGAATGTCTCCACAGGCGTTCCACACGGTACAATCTGCTTGTGACCACATTTTGGGATCTCCTTTTCTACTTCTACTGGGCAGCCAGGGCAATCTTCGCCAAAGTGGCACTTTCTGTTGCATCTGGTTTGGTGCTCAGAGCACAGTTCCATTGGACAGTCTTTTTGGCATTTGTACAACGAATGCTCACTGTCATCAGGATGACACACTCTTTCACAACCATGACCACAAGGAAGGCGAAACGTGCATGGCAGGATACATCCTCCTTCTGGCGCTTTCTTGAAGTCGTCTACATCCTTTGCATGGATTACTCGCTCTGGGTGGTTACTGCAAACCAACTCCAACGACTTTCCTATGGCATCTTGTTCTTTCATCTCTTTGACGACACGTCTCCACAGTTCACTTTTCTCAGCTAACAAGGCGAAGTTGCCAATACAATAGAGACCTTTACGAGCTCGAGACAAAGCAACACAGACTCGATTTCTAACAGCCAAAAAGCCAATCTTCTTCTTGCTATTGGATCTAACCAAGGAGAGCAAAATAATGTCGTTCTCTTCACCTTGGAAGTTGTCCACAGCTGTGACTCTGACACCTTCAAATTTAGTTTTGGGCATCGTCTTCTTCAGGGTCAAAAGCTGACCAGTGTACATTGTCAACACAGTTATCTTTTGGGGCTCGTACCCTTGCAAAATCAAGTACTCGCACAGGGCTGCAATGTATTCTGCTTCATGCTTGTTTGAATGGCTCTTGAGTTTGTCATTTATTTCACTTTCATCTTCAGGAAATCGGTGATCGATAAAGTAAATGTTCTTGGACACACCTCTGACATCTTCATATTCATGCACAGACTCATGATCTTGAAGGTCTTCGTAGATAAATTGCATCAGTCTCGAAATCTCAGGTCTCATACGATGCTGAGTGTTTAGCTGGTAACACTGCATTCCGCTGTTCACCATTCTTTCAAACAACGACACGTCAAGGTTGTACTCCCTTGCTAGAGCGTACACGGTCGGGTTTGGCCTCAGTTGCTTGTGATCACCAATGAGAATCAAATGCTGTGTTCCTTTTGTTAAGGAAGTTATAATGTGAGCTTCCAAGACTTCAGCTGCTTCCTCAACAACAACGATTGTCGGTTTTATTTCTTCTAAGATGGCGCGGTACTTTGCAGCACCAGTTGTGGTCATGCCAATTACCACAGCTTCTCTCAGTGCTTGGAGCTCTTCGTGGTCCTTTACCTCTGTGAAGCGTTTGCAGATGCCTTCATATTCTTGACTCTTTTTAAAAATTTCCTCTCGGCAGTTGAGCTGGAAAATTCGAAGCCAAAACAAATAGAGCCTCCAACGGTCCTCAATGGAAAGTCTCCCAACGTGTTGAACATTGGCAACCTGGGCTGGGGCAAGAGGTTGAAGCTTGGATTCACCTCGAAGAACCTTCAAATGATCTTTTGAGAGTCCGGAAAGTTGCATTTTGCCGTGATTAGCATTCTTCTGTCCTCCTACGATCTGGAACTGATTTTCACCCAGCAGACGTTGGTTTTGAACAATGTCAGCATCTTTGTCTACTTCAATGTTTTCTTCAGTGTCTTCATTTGCATCCTCAATGGCAAAATCATTTTCACCTGTCACAGATTCGGCAGGTGGACTCTCCTGCGAAGAGCTCGCCGGGCCGGAATTCTTCAAACCAAGCCAGCTTTGAATTACAGATCTTCCTTGCAAGTTAAAAGTGTTCTCTTCCGCTTTAAGCTGTTCAAAGTGACTCCGGCCAACAAAGTGCTGCAGATCTTTGAGAGTTAAAATTTTCTGCTTGCTGTTCGTTAGCCGATAAGTAGCTCGCTCGATGGCGTCTTGACACTTGGTCATTTCTACTTTGAGGCGACGTTTAATATCTGAGGACGTTGTGTACTCTTGTAAGTTGTACCTTTGCAGACTTTCTGAAGAACTCCTTCCACCAACACGTATAATTCCTGTTTGCTGGAATGTCAACACCCCTTCCAAAAACTGATCCAAGGCGTGGTTTGTATAACACACCATCAGCATGGCAGACTTTTTCTCTGCGTCCCAGACATGCCTGTTGTCGAGAAGGGCCCTGACAATCTTCAAACCAACGTACGTTTTACCTGATAAGAAGCAAATTAAAGAAAAAGTCAATTTTAAAATTAAATAGGATTTAAACGTGTTAGTTCATAACACAAAAACACAACACAACGACAGAGTAAAACACCATACGTTCACAGAGAAAATGGGCGAGCTCGATGGCCTTAAACTCTACGTTTTATTATTAGAAGAAATGGAAAATGGCACACTTGTTAGCATAACCGGATGGAAACGTCTGAAATACCAGGAAAACTGACTTTGGAAAAATTCCAAAGGTTTGTGTCAGAAACCCTCATCGACCCTCGGATTTAAGTATAAGTATTTTCGGATTTTAGATATAAGTATTCTCACATTTTCCCAAATTTTCCCTCCAGTGTTTTGCATCAGCCAATGTCAGCATGAATCGATCGTTTTCTTTCGTACAGTAAAGCTTACGAAACAAATTGTTTGTATTTTCTAACGTGCGTTCAATCTATATCATAAAGCCACAAACGTATTGATGAATGTGGCATTAACCCACTTCAACAAATTATAAGAGATTTCTGTTTTCTGTGGTCACAATAGCCAAAGTGTGCGAAAACGGGTCTTCATTCAAGTCAATAGCAACGTAATAGTACCTGTCCCAGGAGGGCCTTGTATGACTGAAAACTCTTTTGTAAGGGCACCTTTCAATGACTCAAGCTGCGACTCGTTCAAGTTAACATCATCAGCGTGGGGCCAGGACCGAAGATCGCAAATGGACACTTTGTTGGCACCGTCTATATCAGGCACACCAAGGGTCTCTCCCAGGTCGTACTGTACTTGTCTTCTCGATTTCCTGCTTCTAAGGTACTGCGGGGGCTTCACATCAGCGTTACAGTGGACAAGGTACTCTTGGAAGGGGAATGAATCAGGAGCAATCTGCTTCAGTTGCTGCAGAATGGGTCGGTAGGCCTCAAAATAAGCTGGAGATTCCACCATCACGTAGTTATCCCGCGTCCTTTGGGTGGCTTCAAAACTGTCAACGAAACGAATGTCCAGCCTTCCGGACCTGAGGTCTTCGGGTTTGCGATTTGCTACCGTGGCAAAGAGCATTGTTTTAAAGTTATCCTTTGACAGGCAAAGAAATGATCCAAACAGCAAGCGCTTGGAATGCTCCCATGGGATCTTCCGGAGGCTTCTCATGTCTAAATGAATGCAGTGAACGATGCCGGCTCTCGTGCAAACAGTGTTCATAATCTCCACATTTTCATAGATGTACAAATTTTGAGATCGATCTTCTTTGGGGATTTTCTTGGTGATTTCTCTGATTCCCTCGCGTAGCGGGGCAACAAAATCTTCGCGAAGGAGACGAAACTGGACATCCAGGTAATCATTTAGATCTTTGTATTTCTCCGTTTTCTCAGTCTTGTTTCGGCGTAAAAATGGTTTCTCCTCCGAGCGAATCTCTTTCTCGTTAGGATAAATGGAGATTCCTTTGAAGTCATCTGGAGGGGGTGGCTCAACTTCTTGTCTTTTTGCTTTTTTCGGGGCCTGTGCCATTTTCCTTTCTTCCTTAACGAGTTCGCGTCTTTTTACCAAAAGGGTTTCTACCTCTTTCCTAAACTCCTCGATTCTTTTCACATCAATTTCCTTTAGGATTCCACCAAAGTGGTCGATGGGAACATCTGACGAGAATGAGCGAGGGAATCTAACAAGCCATTCTTTGAAGAAAGTCACCAAGCATTCCACAAGTACACCGAATTCGGATTCAGTCTCCATTTCCTCCTGTATCATTGGGAGATTTAAGATGTACTTTGGCAAGTGGGTACACATAAAGGCGGATCCCTTACAAATCGACAGCACCTCAATCAGATTGTGCGTCATATGGGTGTGGCACATCTTGCCCAAGATCTCCACAAGTAGTGTCATCCAATCTTCCTTGATATCCTCAGCTTTTACTAACATTTCGAAACTTTCGCGGTACTGAAGAAGACTCGCAGCCATTTCTGAAGGCTCTGTAGATCGTAACTCCCGCAATTTTCGATAGCCAAGACGAGGGCCTTTTTGTCTGCCCACTTGTTGTGGTTCGTGAAGTGCTCTTCCATGGTCACCTTTAAGACAATTACAGACGAACATCCAACATTTAGCACCCTTAACTAACACCCTTGTTAGTAAAGTTTGTACATAAAGTCTGAGATCATTCCCGTGTCATAAACTATTTGCCTGAATTGAGAATACTATAAATTGAAATTGGATCTGTAACTTTAGCTGCTGCACATAAAGATGACCTATCTAACAAAATTACTTTGAACTTACCCAGGAAAAAAAGTGAAACGTTTCTTCTGGAAGGACCTCCGAGTTTTGCAAAGAAATCACTGCATATAAATATCTGAGTGTCAATGCTGTGTTCTTCTCACTGGGGTACTGACCAGTTTAGTCTTTTTGGGATAGGTAGAGTCACCTTCAGAATTGGACCTTATTTTGCTTCCATTTCAAGTCAGACTCACATTTTCCATAGACTTTTACTTTTTTTCTGCTGAAAGCTGTTTTAATCCACCTACCCATCTTCATGCACTGAGATCAAAGTTGCTTCTGTTCAGTACATGACATTTCACAAATGAGAACTTGCATCTAAATGCTTTAATTTGTAAAGAAAACAGCCATTTAACTATGGCATGTAATTGAAGCGTGCAGTTATGTTTACAGCAAATAGTAGATTGATGCTCTGTTGTATAACACAAGACACTTAGTTAAGCTGTATAATTCAACATAAACGAAGCTAAAAATTAAAGTTGGTATAACAGTTCTCCAAGTATCCTAAATGGGCGATAATGTTGTGTTGATACAGTAGGAAGAATTCGGATATTTGATATCTCTTGATATCGAGCCCAAAAAACACGCGAGATCGCGTGACTTTTGAATGGTAAAATGTAATTTAGTCCGCTTTGGCCATGACGATGTTTTCTCGCTGTATAAGAACTTCTTGCTGCTTGGAAAGAGACAATAATATAAATATACGCTTGATAGTTCTTCCAAGCGGTGAGATGATCCCGTCGAAATAATAATTAACTGATTGTGAGCACAAGTGATTGCTTTAATTTCCAAAGGTATGTGATTCTTTGGCGGCATATCTTGAAGTGAATCCGAATGTAATATTCTATTCCCACTTTACATCGTTTTTCAGTTCAGTCGTTTCATTATAAAATCGAATCAAGAGGCTAAACTGAGAATTGCTGAAGTTGTAAACAGTGGTTGACTCGATCAGGCGGAAAAGATCTGACAGAAATTAAAATGTAATGGTATCACAGAGCTTTACTGATCCGGTGAATAGCTTTGTGAAGATGTAGTAGAGGACTGCAGTGCCGTCAGCTCGTCCTTGCAAATGCATTTAGATTAAAACTACAACAGATTACCTGTTCCTGAGTTTATGTATGGAGGTCTACTCCTTCCTCTTCCACCTCTTCCACGGCCCCTTCCTCTACCGAAATTTTTCGTTTCCATGAGTTTCTATGAAGTTGCTTCCAGTTGACTCCCTCCTGTACTAGAAATTACATCGCCGTTTTGGACTCAATATTCACAAAAACATCTGGTTTATCCTACCATTTTGAAAGAGAAATAATTTTGTAAAGGAATATGTCAGCCATGTTGGCAACGCTTTCTCGGAAAACAAGGAAATGTTTTTGAGCACCAGTCACTGTTGCATGACATGATTTGATTGGTCGATGAACACAAAGCTGTCTCAGACATGCTGTGTGAAACGTATTGGAATGGAATGGATTATCTCATTGGATGTACGGAATACGACAGGAAAGAGTAAAGTGAAATAGACAAATAGCCCTACGCTTTTTTTTACATAAAAGAGACAGTTACTTGGGGCTTTTCTAGTCGTGTGACAGAAGTAGAGTTGACTTTTTCTGTTTATACAGAGACTACAAAGAATTAGAGCACAGAAATGAGGCACCAGTGCGAAAATAAGATTGCAGTTTCCTTGTACTTTTTCTGAAGTGCCAACACCATGGAAAATGTTTCGAAAAAAGCGTAAAACGTGAAAATCTATTTATGATGATCATGTACTGGAGGGCGAGATGCCTCCACGCCAGTACTATTTCCCTTGGGCAATTCGTGTTCGTTTACATGAAGATATTGTGGTCGATTTTTCAGGTAACCATGCTGTATCCTTGAACTAATGTACCTCGCTAGATATGGTGAAGTTTGTTTCGTTTTTGTGCGGACAGGGAGTTAGACAAAGGTAAAGAAAGCAAGGAAATCATGTCTGAATGCAGCAGTTACAGTGTAGAAAAACTGAGAGAAGAGGTATGATTATCTTGGGGAGCAAAGAGTTGAAGTGAAGATGCTGCTGCAGAATTCAGGCGACTATAAACTTATCTCTTATATTCTTATCTACCCTCTACCAAAGAGTTGAATTAATCACTGAAATGGTAGGGGTAGAAGCAGCACTAAAGTTGTTTTGATGGCTTGTTTTGCTTCTGGATGGGCTTTTACAATCATGATACTACTCATCAGAAGCATATAGTTTATGCATTGTTCATTATACACTGTTATACAGCGAGGTACGTGGGGGTGGGGTGGGAAAGAGCTCTCGAAGTAACACTGATGCTCACCATGACTTAACTGGTTGAAAATCCTTTTATTGAACTGCTTGAGGGGTTATTACAGTTGCTACTTTTCTGGGGTACCTTATTGAACAGCACTGACATTTTAATGTTAAAAGTATTTTTCATTTGGAGCATTCTTGAAAAATCTGTATAAGTACAAGTTCTTGAAGGGTGTTTGGAGACCTGAAATAGTGAATGGCAAAAATCATTATAGCATATGGTCCAAGTAGTCACGGTTTGCCTGAATTACAACTATATTACAGTCTAAAATATATACATGTAGTACTAAGTGGACAGCAGCTCGCTCTCAATAATTACATGGGTAACTCTGTGTTACCCTTACACAAGCTAACCACTGTTGAGTTGTTCAGGCTAACTGGCTAACAAGGGAATTGCGAAGCCACTTAGACTGACTGGAGTGCTATTTAATTTTCCAGTAATGCTTTTCAGGGGGCTATGGTATTGTAACCATGACGGATCATTTGTACTTAAGGCATCTGTCGGTTCAGTATCGGTCAATACTATTGGCCGATATATATAGACTGACAGTCGGTCGACATATT